GGGGGGGGGGGGGGGAGTGTTTTGCAGCCATGAGCGGACCCGTCCTCTCCATGCACTGGGGCTGGAGCAGACGGATCAGCTGGGCTCTCAGCTGGGCTTTTGATTCCTTGTTAATAAAGTCAGCTGTCAGGCTTCGCAGCTGCTAATCCCTCCGTCTCCCCGCGCCGCGCCGGGGCAGGCGGCTCCTGCTAATCAGCCGTGGCACGGTGGCAGGGACGGACGATGGCGAGGGGGGGCCTGGGGGTGTCCTAATGCCTGTGCAGGCTGACCTGCCACGGCCTGAGCATCCACACGAGGCAGTGCTGGGGGTGCACAGAGCACAGCAGTGACCGTGCTGCGGTGTACCCCGCAGCGTACGGGGACATTTCAGAGTGACAGGGAGGGTCTGGAATCATCTCTGGTTGAGCAGCAAATAGTTAAACATCGTGCACCCAGTCCAGCAGCTCTGGCATGGCTTGAAATGCCCCACTATGGCCAGCAGCTGTGGTAGCAAGGACAAAAAACCCCTTGATGGCAGCAGGTCCCCAGTGTCATGCAGGTTGTCCCCTCCTGGGGCTGGACTGGGGCACCAGGTCCCCTGGCCAGGCAGGTCTGCCATGTGGCACTGAGTGATGTGGCACCATGGCGAAGCCAGCAGTATCACGGGGAGGTCCCAAAGAGCCATCCTGGGGCTCTAACACAGGTCAGGATCCGGCCTCAGCAGCACAGTGCCATAGCTCTGCCGGCCAGCGCTGCCTTCCCTTCTCCCCTTGTCCTTTAAGCTCAACCTGGAGGTGCTGGCAGCGCGGTGCAGCACGCTGTGTAGGGGAATTTAATCACCGTCATTAACCGCACAACAGCATCATTAGGGAAAATGAAGTTCTCACTTCACTGGAGATGTTTAAAACCTCAGCCTGGGCGGTGATGGCGTGGGGGAGATCAGGCAAGGGGGAGTGTTTGGGGTCTATAGGGCTGTCACCTCCCAGGGCTGGGATGTGCCAGCGCAGGTGCAGTCCCCACCACCACATGCCCTGTGCCACCTCCTCCTGTCCCCACGGAGCCAGGGAGCTGGCACTGGTGGGCAGTGCCATGGCTTGGCTGTGAGGAAGAGGGGACAGGCACCACCTGGGCACAGGACAGCCGTGGTGGCTTTGTCACCACCATGTGCTGGGCCTTTGGTTTGCCTTGCTTTGGTTTTTTTGCACCTACAAGGCCAGCAAAGCTGGGGTACCCCCAGGACATGTCCCTCGGGATGGCAGAGTTGGCCCTGGCACCTCCAGTGAGGACAGAGGGGAAGGTCCCCTCAGGAGAAGGGACCCAGCTGGAGATGGTTGCTCCTGGGGGGCTCTGGGGACACGAACCTCTCCCCGTCCTGACTCACTTGCAGATGCTCTGCGGGGCCCTGTGCCGCCCGCCGGCGGTGATTGCCCAGCTGCAGCGGGGCTCTTCCAGCACCGTTTGCAGTAAAATTGCAAACTCATTATTTTAATTACGTGCAGCCTTCCTGTGCTAATGAAGTTGGGAGTCTGGTAATGGGGCTTGGTAACGGGTTTCTCCGCTAATTAAGTGCATTGTTTTCAGCCGGGGCTGCACTCAGCCCCTACTCCCCAGAACAGAGGCACCCACCTGGGATGGACTGGGCTTGGGTGCCACAGGGCAGACAGTGGGTGTAGGGTTTGTGGGGTGATCATGAGGCTCTGCCTTTCCCCCAGGGGAGAGGCCATGGGGTATTTGCAAGGCATAAACCTCTTGCTTATCCCCTGGCATTTCCCGGCAGGAAGGTGACACCACACCACAGTGTGACTGTGCTGTAAAGAGTCACACACAGGCGAGGCAGGTGGCTGTGAAGCAAGGAGCAGCCTGCTTCAGGTCCCCATCCCCAGAGGGACACACGGGCACCCCAGCATCTGCCAGCTCCATCCCCTGGCAGCCTCACAGTGCCAGGCCCGGCCGCTTTCAGCTCAGTCCCTGCAGTCCCCTCCCTGCCCAGGGCTGCTGGAGCCAGGGGCAATGGATGTGCTGGGGCTGCGGACTCCTCTCCGCCGGTGAGAGCGGCTCTGCTTTACGGGGTGAGGACCAGCATGGTATCATTCACACATTGCTGTGGTGTCAGGGGACCCCGTGCTCCTGCCAGAAGCAAATGCTCTCATTTATTTGTCAAGGGGCCAGAATAAATCAGGACTGCTCCAGCGCAGCGCCTGCACTTGGGTGGCAGGGAGCAGCTGCCCTGTGCTTGAGAACATGCTGGCCCTGTGCATGCCTGTCTGTCCCAACGTTTTCAGCCCCCAAACTCGTCCCCAGGTTGCTGGCCCCGCACTTGCCAGGGAAGAAGGGGGCTGGGAGTGTCCAGGGGTCCCAGCAGTTGGAATGGGGGCCAGGACACGGCCTGCCAGGGCGCGCATCCTGCCAGTGCTGAGCATGGCACTTTATAAATGGGATTTTGGGAGCCATCTGTTTAAAGGAGGATATAATGAATTAGGGGGAGATGAGAAAAATGCTAAGGCCGGACGGTTTTTCAGAATGAGCTGGGGTTTGCGGGACGTAAAAGATGAATAACCTCCCCACGTGTTCAATATTCATGAGCTCCCAGCTGTAGTGAGCAGCTCAGCGCTGGGTGAGGACAGCCCCGTCACTGCATCTTCCCTGCTGGCACGCCACTGGGACCCGTCCGCAGCTGCGATGAGTTGCAGGGACACGAAACACCCTCAAGGACACTCCCGTGGCTGCCCCTCGCCTGCATCCCGGTCCGGTCCAGTTGGCGAGCAGCTCCCTGGCCTTCATCGGAGGCAGGTGGCTGCTAATTGACGTTTCCTTCCTCTGTAGTTTGATGAAAGGCTCCAGCGACACCAAACTGATTAAAACATCAAGGGGAGGCCCCTGTACTTGGCTTTGATTTGTCTCGGGAGATGATTGCTGCTCCGCTCAACCGTCCAGCCCAGCCGGCGCGGGTGACCCCGGTGCGTGCTGTCCTGGTGCCTCTGTGCCTCTCCTGCTGGCACCGCCGGGGTGCCAGCACCCTTCCAGCCTTGCTGGCCACAACAGCAGCACCATTGCGCTCCCTCCTCACAAGCATCACCCCGTGGCCTCTTTGCTCCTTGCTTGGCCGTGGCTGAGCAGGACGATTCCTCATGGCCAGGGCAGGGCTCAGCCCCCTCTCCCCCGCCCGCAAGTCGGTGGCCACATACTGCCAGCTGCAGCCCTGCACACTGGGCAAGGGCCATGGGTGCCTCTGCCAGCCTCTGCCCTCCTCCCTCCACCGTTGCTATTTCACTTTCTTGCTCTTCACCCCCAGGGACTTTCTCTGGGGTTTGGGCCAATTTGCATACATTTTAATCTATAAAAAATTAAGCGGTGCTGGCTGCTGCTCTGAGTCAGACCTCCCCGTCCTGAATCTTAAGGAGCTGAATAATTTTCCACTTTTGCTGAGATGTGTGGAGTCTGATTCATGTTCATCTCATCACCTCTCATTAGAGGAGGGGGCTGGGGGCTCAGTGGGGTGGGAGAGAGTCTTCTCGAACCTTCGCGGGCAGCCCCCAGCCCCACAGTGCGGCCAGGCAGGCAGCAGAGGAGCCATCCTCCCATCCGGGCCACATTGGCTGCGAGGGAGCTCAGGATTTGGGTGCTGGCAGGATCTGCTCCATCTTCTGACAGTCCCCAACTATATCCCCAGCCCCTGGGACACTGCGGGGAGCGGGAGATGCCTGGGCTGAATGCGGGAGGTGAGGATGACTTTGCCCCCTCTCTGGGGATGCTCTGGCAGTGCTGCTCCCCTGTCCCCCTCCCTGGGCGCTGACGGATGGGCCGGAGCTGTTAATATTCAGCACGCTCCGCCATTTCTCCACCTTCTGCCATCTGCCCAGCTCTGCCCACCATTTCTATTCTTGCCGCCGACGTAACGCTCCCTGCCTGGCGCTCAGGGGGGAGCGCGCGGGACCCTGGTCCCCAGCCAGCACCAGTGGGGGGGTGATGCTGTGCTGGGGCACCCACCTCCCCTGGCCCCTTTGCCCCAGCCCCACACCAGTGACTGGGGGCCCGCACTGGCACTGAGCTACAGCCCCGCTGGTGCGAGGCATAAATAAGGAATTAGCATCTGGTTTAAGCCACCCCTCCAGGCGCAGGGCTTTGTCATCGCGATACCTGCTTTCATCCGTAAACTACCACGGCAGCTCCCCGGGAAGGCAGCCAAGCTAATAATCCCCCAAAATGGTGCAATAAAATACCCAGAAAGGTGGTGCCTTTAAATCATGCCAGAGCCCTGACTTTGCCACCCGGTGCTGGTGTGTGCCCCTCTGCTGGCCGGTGGGTGCCGGGTGGGCTCGGGGTGGAGTGCTGGGATTCCAGAGCGGGGATGGGGGAGAGCACCAGCATTTGTTCAGTGCTTTTCCTCACCAAGTGCTCCCTAAGCACCAGCGGCTCCTGGAGCACACCCAGCTTGGCCAGACTGACACGGGTGGGTGATGCAGCCAGGTATGGACTGGGGTGCACCAGCTCGCACGGTGCCCGGGCGTGGGGGGACGGTGGATCAGTCAGCCTGGCTGGCACAGCTGGGGACACCAGGGTGTCTGTTCTGCCCATCCCAGTGGCTCTAGTCTCCAGGGCCAGCTGGTGAGAGCGGCGGCACCACGCTGCGCTGGATCTCCCTCTGCTCCTCTCCCCACTGGAGCATTAGGAAGCTGGCAGCGTATTGTTTGATGAGCGGATAATCCGCTGAATTGCAAACAGCTTTACCCAATTGAAGAGGCGGATTACCGCTCTCCAGCTTAATCATGTTGACATCTCGGAGAGTAGCCAGTGCTTGTCCTCTTCGGCGCATGGCGAGGGGCTCGATGGCAGCGCGAGGTCCCTCCGTAGTGGTGTGCCACGGAGCTGGGGGACAGGACGTGAGCTGCGGTGACAGCAGACAGCCGTGACCCTGACCGTTGTGCCTCCCTGCAGGTTCACGGATGCGGAGGCGGTGGTGATGGGCGATGTGACCTACGGTGCATGCTGCGTGGACGACTACACGGCCCGGGCCCTGGGCGCTGACTTCTTGGTGCACTACGGACACAGCTGCCTGAGTAGGTGACACTCGGCCCCGGGGCGCTGCCGAGGCAGCCGTGCGTGGCACTGCGGAGCTGTGCTGCTGCCACCGTGCCGTGCTGAGCGGCTCCCTGCGCCGCTTGATGCCAGCTCGGAGACTTAGTGGCAAGGGCTAATCCCTTCCCGAAGGGATTTCTGTTCTCCAGCCTCGGTTGCTGGCTTTGGACGGAGCCAGGCTGGCTGGGTGGCTGCCCACGGGCAGGATTTTGGGGGCAGCAGGGCGTGCTTGTCCTGCTCATCCCATGAGCTGCTGCAACGCCCTGATCGCAGCCCTGTGCCCAAGAGCAGAGCAGTAAGGCCGTGGCTTGGCAGGACCCCTCTCACCCAGGAGCTCCTGCTCTCACCCCCTCTACCCTGCAGCTGTAGGCTTTGGGGGATTAATTCGGGAGCACAGCAGAGAGGAGCGATGGCCTGGGGGTTCCACTCACCCCAGGGCCGGCACGGGGCCGGGCAAGGCAGCTTTGCAGGTGCAGCGCAGGCTGGGCGGGGAAGGGAGGAGGAGGCTGTGTGCTCCCCAGGCGGACCGTACTCTGGATCCAGTTGCCATGGAAACTGCGCTGCTGTCCCAGATGCTGCTAACTTTGAAGTCCACCCAGGATGGAATCAGCCCAAAAATAACAATAAGACGCTCTGGGTTTTAAGGTGGATCGACAGAATTGCTGTAGCAGGCGTGTGGATCCCTGCCGCTGCCACGCTCCCGGCACCTGGCAGCCCTCCTGGATGTTTATGGGGCCGTATAAATGGGTTTAAGAATTGCATCAGGCTCCAGATGAAATACTGACTCCCCAGTTGAGAACTCTGTCCTGAAAGCCACGTCGGCGTGAGCATTCACAGTGATAAATATCTGTGCTAGGTGCTTTGTTACAGAAGGAGGGTTATGGGCACCACTGGAACAGAGAATATAAAACCTCTGGTTTGTGGCCTGCTGGTCATGAATGAGCAGCAGGAAGGGGAGGAAGTGGCCGTATCCATTGTAGGAGTCAGGCTGCTCCGAGGGACAGGAATCACATCTGGAGCTGCTCCCTGCAGGGACCACAGGCGCTGGCTAGGCTGCCTGTCACCAGCCCAGCGCCATCCGCTGCTTGTGGCCACATGGACATTGCCTGCACTGGGCAGGATGGGTCACAGCACCCTGGGGTGCCCACAGGGTTCTGAGAGGGTGCTGGGCTCCTTTCAGGGCTGCCCACGGTGCTCCCATCACCAGTGTGGCCGACAGCAGGGCGCATGCACTTGCCCTCTCCCTCCTGGCCCCATGTGCCCTGCGGGAGGGAGTAATTTGCACTTAATTGTGATCAGGTGAAGAGCACCAAAATGGGAAGTGAACACAGAGCTGTGGATCGATGTGGACTCTGTGTACTTTAATTATTCACTTAATTGTGGTGACACAGGCTTCTTAGCACCGGGGGTAATTAGATTTGTGTTCATTGATTCCCCAGGCTGCCATTATCCAGAGAGAAACGAGCGGGTGCTCTCTGTGGCTCCCATTTGCACCCCTTGCCTGGGGTGCCAGCACGAGCAGAGGGGTGCCGCAGCCCACCCTGGCCTGCCAACCCCGGGGTGGTTGGGAGGCAGGGAGCCCCACCAACATGCTTTATCCCCTGACTGCGGGCAGCAGCATCTGCGGGCTCACCGGGCCCTCACACTCACACCCTCTCTTTTCCTCTCACCAGTTCCCATTGACGCCACGCAGGGGCTGAAGATGCTCTATGTGTTCGTGGACATAAAGATCGACACGTCCCATTTCCTTGAGACCATTCGCTTCAACTTCACAGCGGGCACTTCCCTGGCCCTCGTCAGCACCATCCAGTTCGTCTCCACGGTGCAGGTGAGATGGGGTCCCCCAGCAATGCAGGATGCAGGATGGGGCTTGTGTCCCCCCGACCTTGGCCCTGGCTCCGGGGCTGGAGCAGCTGCCCCGGGGTGCTGGTGGTGATAGTTCCCCTCTGATGAGTCGCTGCAATAATATGCTGCTGCCATAATGTTGATCAAGTACTTTATAATAACTCTGATCAATGTTTCATGGCGGCACCCCGCCCTGGCTCCCCCGGGAGCTGCTCTGTAAATGTCAGGGCAGGCGGTGGAGCACTTGGCATTTTGATGCAGTGCTGGCAGCGGCAGGGGAAGCTCCGGCGGGTCTGTCTGTCTGCCCCTGAACGGCCGGCTGGGCAGTACGGGAGGAGATGGATGAGCCTCTTGAGCCATGTCTATCTAAACACGGGGCTATCGAAGCGTTCAGTGTTTTCCCTTGTCTTTTAATTGATACATTGGCTGAGCCTCGCTGAGCATCTCGGCTGTGCGGGGGGCTGTTGCCTTCCATGACGGTGCCACCCCGAGCAGTCCGGCACCCCTCCGCTCCCACTGTGCTGGGGCAAAACAGCACAACCATTGTCACTGATACCCCTTGGAGCTGGGACTGCCAGTCCCCAAAGGTGCCCCGCAGTGCCGGGGACCACCAGCCTCGGCCACGCTCTGTGCCGCAGTCTGTCCCTGCTGACCCCACATCTCCCACAGGCAGCGTCACAGGAGCTGTGCTCCCAGTACAAGGTGTGCGTGCCCCAGTGCAAACCACTGTCCCCAGGGGAGATCCTGGGCTGCACGTCGCCCCGGCTTGTCCAGGACACAGACGCCATCGTGTAAGTACTCAGGGTCCTCCAGGACCCTCCTGCCTGGCCCAGGCTGCCCGCCCTGCCTGTACACCCTGCCTGGCCGTGGGGTGGTTCTGGGGGGCGGCAGTGGGACATCCGTGGGCTGTCCCCTCCTGTTCCCTGCGCTGTTTGGAATGGCGTGTGCTCGTAGCACAGAGGAAATAATTGAGTCGTATATCAGAATAGATAATAGATGGAAGGGCGGGTGGATAATTGGAAAAGACAAATGGCCGGGGCCCAACATCACAGCAACATTAATTTTATTTAAGGACAGCAAATTAGAGGGAGCACTTCGCTTCCTATCACCTAATTATTTTAGGTAATGGAAATGCTTAATGTACTGTGAATACAGTGCGCAGCAGAATAAATAAATACAAGGACCCCACCCTTGGGGGGAGCTGGGGAGCCCAGGTGTGGGTTCAGGCCCCAGCGAGCCCCTTCTCTCGCCCACCCTGCCGGGAGCCAACGGTGCCAGCGCCTTTCCGAGGTGGCTGTGTGGGGAGCCAGGCCCGCAATTTCCCAGCACAGGGTTGGGGGGGGCTCCAGCTTTTTCAGCTTCACCCTGAGCCACACCAGTGCTGGGGGAATGGTGCTGCTTTCCATCTCTCCCCAGGCGTGTCGGGAGCAGGCAGGGGCAGCCGGGCTGGCACATCGGTGAGCGTGGGGCCTTGCCATGGTGCAGTACCCCCCAGCCACCCGCGCAGGTGCACGCAGCTGGCGTACCTGCGTCCTCCCTGCGTTATTATTTTCTTCTTTCCCCCGTCTCTGGGGCTAACTTTTGCAGACAAATTAGCTTTGATCTCCCAAAATGTCATTCTCCAATTAAGGGCAAAATCTAGTCAAGTTTTACGTCTGAATTCATTTTCCAAGCCCTCACTCCATTAGGGCAGCTGAATGAAAGGCTTTGAAATGTAATTGCTGACTTGAAATCCGATTAGAAATGGAAGCAGCAACGTCTAGAACCAGCCATTGAGATGGAGCGAGCTCCCAGCCACCCCATGCCAGCGTGGGCATCCGTCCTCACCCCGAGCATGGCCACCTCTCCCACCCTGGTGTGCCAGGGGTGCTGCAGGGAGCCGGGGAGCCCTGGCTGTGCCCACTGCCCCGGGGTCCCAGCACGGGAGCTTGGATTCCTGGCATCTCCACACAGTGTGGCTTGGGAAATGGGTGGGCATGTGGATGGATGCCACTGTTTCCCACGTGCCGAAGCTCTCCCTCCTCTCTCGGCAGGTATTTGGGTGATGGGCGCTTCCACCTGGAGTCCATCATGATTGCCAACCCGGGGATACCTGCCTACAGGTACGGGCAGCCCGTGGGCACCTGCTCTGGTCTGAAACAGCCCCATGGTGGGGAGCACCTCAGCTCCCCCAGCACGCCGGGGATCAGCCGTGCACCCCAAGAGCACCCCACACCCCAGGGCCAGGCAGGCAGCTGCCTGCAGCGGGTACAGGCAGGAGAGAGGCTGCGGGGTGGGTGAAGAGGTGCGCAGGGGAGATGAATGCCAGCCATTTACTCTGGCTGAATATAAACATTTTGACAAGTACCTGTGAAAGCTCGTGGAGGTGCAGCCATTAAAGCCCGGCTGCTGCAGGCAGAGGCCATAAAGCGCGATGATGAGGCCGCTGAAAGCAGATGAAATATCAAGAGTGAAAGGCTGGGCCCATTTGGCGAAATCTGAATTTCTTAGTAGGTCGTTTGTTACTAACGGGAGGCGCACGTCAGGTTTATGGCGCTGGTGAAGCTGCCGAAACCGAGTGGGATTTGATTAAAATTCTCCTCGTCAAACAAAGCAACAAATCAAATATTTCTTCATAATTGATGAGCCGGGACGGGAGGGAGCTGAGCACGAAGCTATGTGTGGAGCCCAGGCTGTGCTGGGGGGCTGCAGTGGGACACTTGCCTTGTCCCTGTCCTTGTCTCCACTCTGCAGCCTAACGAACCGGCTGGGCCCTGCATCAGCCATGGAGGGAGATGCGGTGGGAGGCAATTAGTGCTAATGAAGGATGGGCATAATTTGGGGCCAGGATGGAGTGGGGCAAGTGGAGGGGTGTGTGTGAGCTGGGCTCTTGTTTTGCAGGTACGATCCCTACAGCAAGGTCTTCTCCCAGGAGCACTACAGCCATAAGCACATGCGCCACGCTCGGCAGGACGCCATCCGCACTGCCACCGGCGCCCGCTGCTGGGGGCTCATCTTGGGCACGTTGGGTCGCCAGGGCTCCCCCGGCATCTTGCAGGTACCAACCCCCTCCCTGTAGCCCCCTCTCAGACACAAGGTGCTGCTCCTGGGCAGGGGGAAGGACTGCCGTGGCCTCGCTGCCAGGGTGAGGGTGAACCCCCAGCGCTGCTGGTAGCCCATCGGTTGCCACTGGATGGGGTCTGTGTTCCCCTGAGCTGAGCGGGCAGGGCAATTAGCAGCAGATGAGGGAGGCTGGACAAGGACTCATTAAACCTGCTCCTCGCTGGGGAGAGCTGGCCAGCCTTGGAGACCCCCTCCAGCACAGGCAGCTTGGCAATTAATTCCCTGGGTTTGTTTTAATTAGATGAACTTCAGATCAGGTTTGCTGTCCCTGCTCGGCCAGTGTGCTGGCACTTACACCATGGGACCAGTGTCCTGCCCCACGGCAGGTCCCCTTAGCACGGTGGCCCCACTCACACCCAGAAATTTTGGGGGAGCCACAGGTGAGATTTGGGGTAGTGCAGGGACCAGTGGGCAGAGCAGGGCGGTGAGGTCCCAGCAGCTGCTGTTCCGCAGCAGGCAGGACACAGGCATGGCCGGGGCTGGCTGGGCAGGGGGCAGTTAGTGCTGGCTCGGGAGGACAAGGACATCCCTGGCCCCTTGTGGGCCCCTCTCATCCTCCTGCAGCCTCTGGCCACAGCCAGCCCATGGCAAGGCATCGTCCCAGGGAAGGCAGCCGCTAACGAGAACAGATTGTTGTCATTGAGCAGTAATTACTTCATTAGGCTGAGGCACACGCTGGGGAGAGCTGGGTTCGAACCAGAGCCATGGTCACTGTCCCCATCACTGTGCCTGGCCTGCGACTTGCCGAGGGGATATGACCGTGGGTCAGAGCTGGCACCCGTGGCAGGTCTGATAGCCAGGAAGGGGCTGTGGGCAGAGCTTGGTGGGCTTGCCCAGGGCATCTGTCTGGGCTCCCCCCAATGCCTTTTCCCCTTGCAGCACCTGGAGTCACGTCTCCGTGCCCTGGGCCGGCCCTTCGTGCGGGTGCTGCTGTCCGAGATCTTCCCCAGCAAGCTGCGGCTCTTCCCTGACGTGGATGCGTGAGTGCTGTTCCCCCCACCTCCAGCCCCCCGTGATGGGGTCCCCAGGGTGCCCCATCCTCATCCAGGCCTCTGATTCCTGCTGGAAGCCATCCCTGCCACGTCTGTCCTGCTGTTACCTGGGCCCAAAGGGTGGGGAGGGGACATGGCTGTCCTTGGCAGGGAGGTTCCAGCACCGTAGGGACCTCGCTCCCTGCCCATTCCGCTTCCTTTCAGTGAGTGGGGGGGCTGCTGTGGGGCCTCGCTGCAGCTTATTCTCCACAAAATGCTCGTCCCCATCTGCTGCTGTGTGTCTCCCTCCCAGGTGGGTGCAGGTAGCCTGTCCCCGCCTCTCCATCGACTGGGGAGAAGCCTTCAGCAAGCCATTGCTGACACCCTACGAGGTGAGCACCCATCTCCCATTTTGGGGGGACCAGCCCTGGCTTGAGGCGATGCGCCAGAGCTGCGAGCCACCAGGATGGCGACGTCCCCTCCTCTCGTCCTCTGTGCACGGTGGGTGTGCTGCTGGGATTCC